AATAATCACTTAAATACCGACCACTCAGATGGAAGGCAAGGAAGACTGATAGTGGTTTTAATACTTATCATGTTTTACTCTTGGCATTGTAGGAAAATTGCCACTATATATATATATATATACATATATATATATACACATATATATTTATTTATTTATTTATTTATTTTCCTTCTTAGCAAGTCTGGCTGCACTCACATGTATGCTTTCCTTCACAAATGCCTGTATTAAAATGCTTCCCTGTGAGTCCCTTATATTTCAAAAGGCAGATCTAAGTTTGCCTTTCAAAAGGCAAACTTAGATCTCCTTGTAATTACTAGAAATACTGGCTCTGTCTATCTTGGACTATTTGCAGTAAATTGCAAGTACACACATTTGTTACCTAACTAGAAGTATAGATACTGCAGTTAAAAAACACTCTGGTAAAAGTTGAAGTATCAACTTGACCTCTTTACTCAAGTAAAAGTTCAAACGTATGTGTCATGATTTTTCTAAGGGCTTGGACCCACATGCAGCAAAGTCAAACAGAGAGACACAGTATAGAAGTTCAATGGGTTTTATTGTAAAGTATATGAGTTCGGTGCAGAGATCCTCCGAACTCTGCTCAGCCGGAAACTGGAAGACGAGGGGAAGACAGATTGTTAGTTTTAGGCTCAGTGGGAAATTTGAGTTGTTTATCTTGAAGGAGAGGATTTGTTGCCACTCATGTTTCCAGGGAAGAAGGGACATGTAGACTCCAGTCTGTGTGTTGGTCTTCCAGAGTTTGATTGATTCGGTGGAGGGGGGAACAGGGTTTACCCAGAACTTGGATGGGGTGGAATGATGCAGCTGCTGGTTGCAACTCAGTTTTCCTGTGGTACTTGAACGGGTCCTGGTGAAGATGACTTCCTTACTCAGAGAGTGATCTCAGCGTGCTCAAAGGTGGCTGGATCCAAACCTCCTGTTTGGAATCCGTCGCTCCGTGTATGACTCAGTTGATCCCACTTGGGAGAAGGCGGTCCGAAAAGGTCCAGTTTGCAGGAAGGCTTCCTGCCGAAAGGCAAAGAACAAACAGAGTTGAGACTCAGGGAGAAACAAGCACTCAGTAAAACTCAATGTGATCTAAGCTTGGCTAGAGGACAAAGACTCAAAATGCAAAAACTCAGATTAGACTCATAAACAAGGCTTGGCTAGAGTAGCCCAAACTGGCAAACACTCTGGCGTCGAAGTAGTGGCAAACAGCAGCTTAATAGCAGTCTGGTGATGAGGCAAAAGCTTGCAGGTGTGTGAGGAGGCGAACTGGAGCCAGGCGCCTCCTGGTGGTGGAAGGGAGAAACACAAAAGACAAGACAAACAGACGAACACAAAAACTGGGATCCTGACAGTATGTGCTTAAAAAACTACTGAAAGTAAAAAAAAGTATAAAGTAACCTTAAAAAAAACTGCCAGATGCCACTATACGAATTGAAATCTCAATTTTGCAACTGTTTTGAAAAACTCTACATACAGGGCCAAGGATGTGATGTTTGCATTATATGACTCATCCAATTACACTAGTTTTCACTAGATGTGGATGGCGCCAATGATCTGCATTGGATGGTGCACATGACGTGAAGTAAATATTTATAAATATTAAACTGAAGCCAAGAGTAACGAGTAACAAATGTAAGGAATAGAAAGTATAGATACTTGTGTGAAAATGTAATGAGTAGAAGTTAGAAGTAGGAAGAAAGATAAGTAATAGAGTAAAGTATAGATACCTAAAGAGTGTACTTACTGTAAGTACAGTAAAGAAGTATCGGTTCTTCATTACTTGACACCTCTGATCATCACACCTTTTGCTTTTAACCAGACAGCACTGCTCGTGCTGTTCATCACTTTTTGATTAAACATGACACACTAAAAGCCTATATTTACAGTATGCTAATGTAACTTATTTTACTGACTGAAGAGCGCACTACACAATAAGCTGTGTGCACTAAATAAAAAAAAAACAGGAAACATAAATATTTAAGCCGCTAATATCCAATAATCTGTCTCCCACCAAACCTGTAGGGGCAGCTGTACATATAGTCCCCGGAGTAGGGATGAAGATGGCTACCTCCAGTTAGCCTGTTGGCTTGCAGCAGAAAGAGCTGCAAATGAAAGATGGGGCTCCTTCAGCTCTTCACTGTATTTCAGATGTGCAGGAGTTGAGCCCAGTCTCTTCCTTGCTCCGGTGGCTTTAAGGAGGGACATAAATGGCAAAATGTGTGAATTTGGGACTGTTGTTCTCCTCTGTGCCTGATTCTAGGATTTTCTTGTGCCAAATGAAAATTAGTTCCTTATTGTTTTATTTCCTAATTTGACTTCCTCCTCTGGCGGTTAGAGAAAATCCACAGAAAAGCCAGAGCCTCTTATAAGCCACATGGTTCAAAGCATGGGAAAAAAGTAGAAGCTGGAAAATATGGTAAATGAATATACATCTAATAATGTTTATTTAGTCCTTCTTGAGCCTGAAAATAATTTTTGCACCATGCTCAATCAGCAGTTATTATTGTTGCACGTTGTTTCTATGTGCTGGCACTTCCTACTCACTTCCTGCTCACTTTAAATAACTTGGCAGTTTGTGAGGACAAAGGTTTATTTTGTATGAAAACTTTATATTGCACTTTTAACATCTCTGTCGGGGGAATATGACTTGCTTAGCTCCACTTCTTCCTTATTTACTCATTGAATGCATTCATACCTCCATTCATTGAAGTTAATATAGAAGACCCAAAAGTTAATTATCACATTGCACAAAAAAAGAAAAATACAAATATAAAATATAAGTAGCTAACAGGGTTCATACTTTTTTTCAAAGCCTTTGAATACAACCAGGGTGAGCTATGGCCAAATAATTAATAAACTTAAATTATGTTGTAAGTTCCCTTTCTATTGTTATATCATGATAAATATGTAAATTGTAAAAACTTTTTCTTTTTGATTTTATTAGAACAATTATATTTTACATTATAATGTGATATAGCTGTCATTTTTCTGTTATAGCAACTTTATGATTTAATAGTCACCTGTGTGACCCCATTTATTTGTTTTATTATATTTAACCGAATAACAACTGAGTTGATTTGCTTAATGATAAGGCACAGAGAAAACCAACTTCAATTTGGAAACACAATAAAAAAAACTATATTGAATACATATCTGTTGAAACAAAGGATTACAAATGTTCATTTTTCATTTGACTGCTTTGTTTCAAGAAGAGAATGTTTCAATGTTTTAAAAGCAACAAAATAAGATAAAATGTTTACAAGTATGTTGCATCAGTTGTTCTAAAATCTTACCAAGGACAACAAGCTGTACAAAATGACACAAAAGTTGTTGTTTTTTTTTCTCTCAAAATGTTTTGTCCTATATAGACTGGACTTTCTATTTGGTAAAATATGCCTGACATCAGCCCTTTTAATTCCTTTTTCTAAAACAAAGCTCAACTTTGTATATCAAACAGATGTGCCCATATAAATGGGCCCATATAAATGGGCACGTCTGGGAATATATGAGCTTAATGTACATGCCGGTGTATTGAGTCCCTTTTATTTGCTTGTACACTGCATGATAGATGGATCATTGAGCAATCTTGCTTTACGAAAGTTAGCATTTTTATTTTTTAGGTAGACCATCATTTTGTTGTTTGTAACTCTCTAAAGGCTAACTTGTGCCAGACACTTAGGTATTTTTTTTTTAACTTCTCAAAACAGATTTCTGGAAATTTAACACATTCCACCAGAATGATATGAGCCAGGTTGGTACTGTAGGTTATGTGCATCATGTGCACTTCTGCCCAAAAGTTTTCCATTGTTTTATCAAAACTTTTAATGCTTTTTTTGTCAAGTCTGGTATTTAAATAGTCAATTGTCCATTTAGAAGACTCTTTATAAAATGTATTTGCTCCTAAACTTTAATTTCCTTATGTCTTGGGATTTTTGCTCATATAATTTGTACCTGTTGACAAGCAAAGGGTGGATTCTACCTCTTAACTTACTTACTATAATGTTCTTCGGCTTAAAGGCTTAACATTTTTCTTCCTAATGTACAGTAAGTTCTGTCTTTGCAGCCAAAAAAAAAAAAAAAAAATCTACTATTAGTTTATGCAATGTTCTGATTTAGACAAATAAAAAAAAAAAACTTTCAGCTAACTTTGGTCTCATTAAATGCCAGACAATGAGAAAAATAGGTTGTTTTTTCTTATACAGCATTGAGTGCGTGCATAAAAGCCTGGTTAAACTTTTTTGCTTAACTAACATTATGTGACATTGTTTAATTCTGAAAGTCTTTTTGTGCTCTGTAATGTGTCTCTAGTGTAGTGTTTTGAATACAACACATAAATAATGCTAAGAAGGGTCATATCAACTAAATTACCAAAATAAAATTACGTTTAAAAATTTTAATTTATTAGTTTATATTATTGAACCAATAGTATCGTAAAATACACCAACAAAGGCCCACAAGAGTCTTCCTCTCCTTTATTAAAATCGATCTGTGCAGATATTCTTAGATTTTCGGTCAGTATTTTTGTTTTTTTTCTATTCACCATGTGAACTGGCATACTGAAAATGGCTCTCATTGCTGTCAAAAGTGTCTCCTACCTTAACACATCGGGCTGAAGAGGTGGAGGTGTGAAATATCTGACTTAGGTTTCCCCACAAATCTCAGGAAAGTCTGCATGGATATGAGTTGAGAAAAAGTTTAGAAACTGAATATGATCAGCTTTCAAATTCAGACTTTAAATTTGTGCAAGCCTTTGCCTGGAAGACCAAGCAATAAAAAGCTGTTACATCATACCCATGTGCATTTGTTCCTGTGTGCAGGCAGATGTAAAAGGATATGCAATGAAGTAGGTGTGCATGTGTAGGTGTATTTATGCTTAAACCAATATGTTTAAATATGATGCAATTTAAAATTATCTACCCGCTGAATGCATGCAGATGCCTTTTTTTCCACTGATTAACCCTTCTTTTCTTCGTCTTTTTGTCTTGCAGGGACACTGTCTAAGATTATGTCTTCCTGGAGAATATAAAGACCTGATTACTCAACATTCACACAATCCCCCATATACCCCCAAACACAAAAACACACACACATTTTTACTCATTAAAATAGATGACAGACGCTTGCCAAGCACTCCAGCATTCTATTTTTTTAAGTTCTCCCTTTGAAAGTAGGCCTTTTGAGAGCAGATGTACCAACTCTGATTGCCAACTTTTCCAGGGCTGCATGTGGGACTCCAATTCCTTGATCCATTTCCAACAACAACTACTCTCATTTTTTTCCCGATCATCTAATGTTATGAAAAAATAAGATATGTTTATATGTAAGGACCTTCTTAATTTGTAGATCTGTCTATTATGCTTTGCCAAATTTGATAGAAAAATACTTAAAAATACCTATATTGAAGAAGCATATACTGTACCAACTACACAGAGTGTCTCTGTCACATGTATTTATTCTTTTTAACTTTAAAAAATATCCATGCACTTTAAGTGTTTTTGAGGACAAATTCCCTTTCTGGATTGGAAGGGAACCGATGGTTAAAAAAAAAAAAAAAAAAAAGGACTCCTGGCTCTTCTAACTAATTTCATTGTGACTGGCAGGAACAATTTCTCTGCCAGTTCCTTTTGGTCTTTGTGTTCTTTTATTTCATTCCTATAACATTGTATTTTGTTGTTGGCTTAATATCTCTTTGTTCCAAGAGTAAGGAGGATGAAAAGCAAAATCATCAAAGACATGTGCTTGATCAATATTTTTGCCCTGGTTTATTATACTGTCCGACTCTCACATGTAAGTAAAAACGTGTGAAAACAAATGAGAATCTGTAAAATATAAACACATACAAAAGCTACCTTTTGTTTTTTTTTCAGATTTCATATTCTTTACAGTGCCTTGCAAAAGGATTCGCACTGCTTGGCTATTTTCATATTATATCACATTGTAGCCACAAACTGTTATGTGATTGACCCAACAAAAAGTAGTGCTTCAGGGTATGGTGGAAGAAAAAGAAACATTGTTTTCAGTTATTTAAAAAAAAAAAAAAAGTGGCATGTGTGTGTTTCACACCTCTGAATCCTTTCCCTGAAAGTTGTGTTTGTTCTTTAAAAAAAGTTCAAATTATCTGAGATTTGTTAAGTAGTATCTATAAATGTAAATTTAAGGTTTTTATTTACAGGTGTTGAAATGGACAGTTCTCAGAAATATTTAATCTTTACTTTGTGGTATGTTGCTTTGATACCACTATCATGCACTGTTTTGTTTTTGTTTGTTTTTGCTTTTTTTTTCATAATTCCAAATTAGTAAATGTCAGCATGACAAAATCTGGAAAAGTTCAAGGCATATGAATATTTTGTAAGGTGCTGTATATCTAATATTTGGCTAATTTAAAGGCAAAATTAAATACATTTAATTTGCTTTATAGGCATATCTTTCCTGTACATTAAGAAGCAAAACCCAAATAGATACAAGGTGATGGAAGTTTATTTATATGCCATATTTCAGTAGCAGGATGATCCAAAGTGCTGTACATGGGGGAAAAAAATATTGTATTTCCATAAAGGTAACTCAAATAACAGAATAAAGATGAATATATAAAAAAAATGTTTTTAAATCTTACGCTTTTTCAAAGTCTACTTGGTAAATACAACAAAGTCAGAAATAATTAACTTTTTTAGTGGGAGAAAGTTGTTCATTTACACGAATGCAAATATTGCAAAAAAAAAAAATCACTTCTTTTACCTTTATTATTTTTTTCTTATTCCTTATTTGCTTTTGCTAAAATGTATTTCCTAAAGACAACAGATATGAACATGTAAATAACCCCTGGATCCCAAAACAATCATTTTAGTGAAAATCTGACTTTTATCCAATTGATGTGAAAAAAAAGAAAAGTAGAAAGTCTTTAATCAACACTTTTTAGTTTTTCACTGCGCTGCACATGCCTTGCACTTTAAAGCCTTTTTATTTAACAATGACACCCTAGTAAACTTAATTTACATTCTTTGTAGGTGCCATCTTTAAGGAGCCTGACAACAATCTTTGATTCAAAAGAGGCAATTTGACTTTTTTACCTGGAATGCACCTGTCTTCTTTCTTGTTTGTGTTTATTGTATTTCTGATAAAGCTAGAAGATTTGCTCACATGTTGACATTTAGGTCTTCAGCTGACAACCTTTTTGTGACATTTTCAATGAAAAAGCAGCAAAACCAGTGTATCTGTTCTATCATCAAACCTTATAAATACACCAAAACATATTCATTTAGAAGCCTTCCGTGGATTTGCATACGATTATCCACTGTTTTTTCATTACATTTGTTGCTGACATGATAAAGCCATTTGGTGTCTAAAAATAAAGATGGTGTGTTTACCATCCATTATCCAGAAATATGTTTTCATTAAACACATCTTTTGTTAATAGGAGCACCCTTCAAATTCAAAAATAATGAAAGCAATGGAATAATCAAAAAGGATTTCATGGTAGATTTGAAAAGATGGACCTAAAATTGTCAATGAGGATTTTACTGGAATAAGAATTTGCATTAGTTTCTCTGTATTCAGTAAATGTTTTCTGTGACACTTTTAGTTGACTGTTATGTAACAATGTCCTATCTTACAATGAATACCCAGTTCAGCAGTGCACAAGACAACAAAACAAACTATGCAATTCTAAGACTACATTGTAACTTCAGCAATATTTTAAAAATTTTATATCTCATGGAAAATTGAGATCCAAAACAAAGACATTGATTCCTTATCTCTAAAATTTCGTAAAATGCCAAGTATTACAGACTGTTTTAGTGTTTGATAAAGGAACTAATAGACATTTGCCTACTTACCATCTATCACAGAAATCAGAGGTTGTGACTGACAAAAGGTATCAGAATTACCTGGCCGACATTTTATTATGCACCCATTAATCACTGCTAAAGACATGGTTTTGGATTTTATTTATGTTTTTTGAAATCCATATCAATATCAGCATATTACTTTGATTGTAGATAAAACATGAAATATTGTGCTATGAAATTGATGTTGAATAATTCTTTGGAAGCCTTACATCTGCTTTGACTCACCTATTTTTTTTTAGCAGTACTACTATCTAACAAAAGTAACTACACACCTCAAATTTTGTAAATATTCTATGATGTCTTAAATGAGACAAAAATAAAGATACAACTCTAGCATTAAAAGTGATTATTCCCTAGAGGGATAATATCCATATTGTGACCAGTTTTGTAACTACAGTATGTGGAGTTGACCAAGAAAACCGTATTTGATTCAGTTTATGTCAAGCATGTGTGGTGGAAACCAGTTTAGAAATGCAAAGACAAAAATGTCTTGTCCTCATTAAAGCTAGTTGGTGGGAGTATCTTGATGGTAGGCAGCATGAGAGCTACTGGATGAGGAGAGCTATAGTATATTGAGGTATTGTATGTACTGTGACATACTGAGCCGAACATAATTCTCACCTTTTGGAAAGTGGTCACAGGGCAGTATTCCTCCATGAGTATCACTATGGACCACTACCCTGTTAAAACATCTGGTGGTACAGGTGGTGGGCTGGCCAAACATGTTTTCTGAACTTCAACTCTGTTAAACACCTTGGGGATGTACTCTGAAAGAATCTGGAGAACAAAAGGCATCTAGCATCCAACAGCTCTGTCATTGTGGAGGAGTTGAAGGGGACTCCACTGGCAACACACGAAGATCTAGTAAAGTCCATGCTCAAAGAGAGTTAAGGCAGTGCTGAAAAATAAGGGTGACCACAAAAAATCTTGACACTATGGACACAATATGGACATTTGCCCTCAGGTTAGTTCTCACTTGTTGCCAGGGCTTTAGACACAAATGTCTGTGTAATGAGTTATTTTAAGAAAGTAGCAAATATACACAGTTGTACAGTTTTGCACAGATATTATGTAGAATCACATGGACACATTGTTGTCCAATAAAAACAAATGCATAACATATTTACAAGAACATGATAGATTTTCTCACTTTTGTGAGACAATTTAAAACTGAAAACTTCAATTGAAGAAAATATTAAAGATTGTCTTTTGCTAAGAGGCTGTTGCTGAGTTCACCATTGCTTGCTCGCCGATACTATGGCTGTATTACCTAATCGGTAGTCCAGAAGAATCAAATACATCCTTGTACTTTTTCCAATTCTCATATTCAAAACAATTATAACCAGGCAGATTTATATAGCTGACAATCTAAACTAACCCAACCATGTGCTTTAATACATGTTGTTTGACTGAGAAAACAAGCATACCCAGCAATAGTCTCTTGTGAAATTTAAAAGTTAAATAATTACATGCCATTGTAGCCCATGCTTTACAGTTTAAGTTTTTTGGGCTTCCAAGCAGACTGACACTTATATTCCATTGATCTAAATATATATATATATCTAGATATATATCTTTTAATTACTGTGAAATTACATCTTTTTCCTTATGGTACTTAAGAAAACTTGTTTTTTAAATATCTTGACCCTGACTGAAAAATGCTAACTTCTCCTGTGTCATTGCCTCCTACCTTTATCACTTCCTTTATCAAGTACACCAAGCTGCAGAGTAACATTTAGTCTAACAGAAAAAAAGAAATCAATAGCAAAAAGAATTGGCATGTTTTTTGTTTATGAGTGAACCCTTATCACATCAGAACGTTTGCTTTGTTAGTACAACATACCATATGCCCTTTTAATTCAAGTCAAACTGCTTAGCATCACACAAAAACTGCAAGAGCTTAACTTGCACGCCTTCCTTATAAGCATTTTAGGTTTCGTAAATATAAAATGTTGTGAACTAAAGAAATGAAAGAGTATAACTGGTGAATATCACCTCAAACTGACATTTTACTTATGCTTTTTAAAGTAGTCAGGCATGTATTGTTAATTATTTGGCCAGTGTTAATCCATGTCTTATATTTTTTTTTACAGCTATGTTGCTGAAGATAATGTACGCTGTTGCCTCCTAAGAGATAATGAATGCTCTATTTTCTGTGCATCCTTTGTGACCATAATTTGCTAGTCTCATCAATTTCTACTCCTAGTCCATGATTCTGCTTGATGATCAGCTATATAACCAGTTTACTTGTTTAAAGAAGAGATGGTAGCTTTTAGATTTTAACAATTAAATTGCATTTTGAGCACTTTTCTCCCTAATAGTTTTATTGTTATAAAGGATTGTTTTGCAAAAAATAATGTATGCCGTTTCAGGTCTTTTTCCACGGCATTGTACACTACCATGTTCAATAAATTCAGATTATGTAAATTAATTATTTGTTTCCTCTTTCTACAAAAGCACCACAGCAAAATCAAGAACACACACATTAATTACCACAATTTGAAACAGTGCACCCACAAACTTTGGTGTTTTTACACAATACACCAGTATAGGTTATATAATTCAGACTCAATTGACTTTAGAAATAACGTAGTGCATAGTATAGAATAGAATAGGATGAAATTATATAGATTTAAACAAAATTTAAAATA